GCCTCTCTTCGCTCCAGCTCAAATTCTCTGAAAGAGCCGAAACCAAGAGAAGAACCAGATTAAGAGCCAACAAAAGCAGAGCTCCCCCACAAAAAGCTGTCTTGCACCCCTACAGTTCCCCTTACCATTCTCCTCCTTATAAAACACCCTGGGCCCCCAGGAGATGATAAAAAGAAGCGTCCATACTCACAGAAACGTATGCAAAGAAAGTGCATGTACAAAGGCCATTTGCAATTTTACAAAATGGCAGACATAATGCTTTTACTGAAAAATGAGGACCTGCCATATTGTGTTGGAGAGAAAAAAGTATGGCAGCGCACGAAAAATGGAGAAAAATCATGCTGGCCTGGTTTACGACAAATAGATAGCTCTATTGATTTCCCTTTTACAGTGACTGTCCATCCCTCACTGTTGTGATTACACTGACCTATTTCAGAAAAAAAATAGCCGTCTATTATAGATTATACCAAAATGTCCAAAAAGAATACTCTTTTTGAGGAACAAACAAATGGAGTAAGATGAAACATAACCTACAGTACAGAGGGAGAAAAAGATTGTGTCAATTTAAGCGTTCAATGCTGCTCTGGGAGAAGAGGAAACAACGAGTTCTTGCACCATGCTGAGAATCAAATAACTTTCAACAGAAAAGAGCGGCTGCGCTTAGTGGGGCCCTGCATTGTCAATTTCAATCATAACAAAAAGGCAACAACATTAAAATGACTGCAATATTGCTTAACTGACGTTTAGACATAATAATGGCAATTTTACAAACTTGGAATAATGTTCAGTAAGAACAACAGAGTCTAACATATTTGATAATAATCTAATGCACTGTATGCGCTACTGTATTGTGTTTCTTACTCTAATACACTACACCACAGTTCAGTGTTGTATGCTTTGTGCTGATGATTCCTCTGTGTCTGTGTGTATTGCTGTGTGTGCTCGTCCTGCTCCACTATGTCTGTGCCGCGCGTCTCACTAGACTATCTCTCTCCGCGTAGCTCAGGGGACTCTGGCTGGCTGATCTTCATTATCAGCCCTAGCTTAACAATGTACTGGATGCACTTCCCACATGAGTGCAACTAACAAATCCCCACAGAGCTGAATCAAGGCAACAATGTGATGAAATACCTTCAAACAGCCACTGAGCATGGAACACTGAGCTATGCAGAGACAACTCACACTGCCCCAGGCGATTCCACAGGAGTGCGCCTGTTGCCAAGCAAAATTAGACAGCAACTGGGACATATTATTCTCCTAAATTGGCAATGTACAGCACTATTAAGGACCATAAATCTCATGTTTGATTAACTGAAAATACCTCAACTCACAGAGCCAATGCGTTAGCACTCTACCACTCAGAAATCCAGGCGGGATCTGATGTCATTTAGAGGTAAAGCAGATGCTTTACAGAGGTAAAAGCTGTCATGGTGCGGTGTGAACACAGAGAGCATTATTGGGATTAATAATGCTGTTAGCATATTGTTCCAAACATACACCAAACTACTTTTATGAGAGATATTTCAAATGCACAAAGGCACAAAATCTTCAAACTCTGGCTTTATAACTTTGAGTTGAGTCTCGATGACGGATGTAATTTCACTGTAACTCTGCACTCTGTTTTTCTAAGGCAGTGCAGAAGAATCTAAATCATCTGGTTCCTTTAAAACAGATTGGCTGTGCTATTACTATGTGAGCGCAGATCTCTGACGAGAGAAACTCAATACAAGCTGCGAGCAAATAAATGAAGATGCAGGAGTGAGGCCATGTTTCTCAATCAGTGTAAGGAGTCTGTCACCGCAATGGAGATAAATACAGGGTGAAAAAAAAAAAGAAAAAAGTGAGACTCTCTTCAACGCGTCTGTAAGACTGAGGAGAGGAAGCCTCGTCTGTCTCCTTTTCTCTTTTCCCGGAGTTACATTTGTACTACTGCCTCCCTCTGGCCACTCTATTCCCAATGTAAAGACAGGCACACACTACATATAATACACATCAATACAGGGGATTGGCAGAATAACACAAATCAAATACAATGCATAATTAGTTCTTGAAATATAGTCAAAAGTACATTTTTCAGTTTTTGTTGAGGCTGCAAATTCAGCTCTGTAGTGATGTTGGGGACAGCTTTTTTTGGATTTTATTATAATATTGTAAGGGTGTTTCTTTTATGTGGACATATTAGCATAGTACCAGTTATCCTGTACACCTTGTCAAATCTTTTACAAAGCAAGCTATAAAAAAACTTAATGTAGATACGCCAGCCTTTGTCTTGTTGTGTATCATAGTCTGAACAGTCAGTCAGACAATCAGTATATTGTACATCTACAGCTGCAAGAGAGTGAGAGGCTTAGCTCTAGGTAATCAGGAGATCTACTCTGTTCGGGGAAGAGCATCCTGGCTACACGACCTGTGTGCGTGCGTGCGCGCGTTAGCTAGCTCTTTGCTATCCGAGCTATGAGACAGAGCCCCAGACTGCTGATGGTAGATTAGAGGTGAGACGTCTAATCTCAGTGTAATCAGCTGCTGCATCTGATCCTCCGCTCCACACCATCTCTCTCAACAGGTCCAAACAGAAACTCATCTCACAGCAACGCAGCCTTGCTGAGGTAGGAGGAGGTGACGCGTGTATCTGGTGTCCGGCATCAAAGTAAGAAAAAAAGAAAAAGAAACTACAATTCAAAATTTAAGCCCTTGATCTCTCGCTGTCACCTCTGTCACAGGCAGTTTTAGGGATAAATCAAGTGCTACTAAAAGTCAGTATAGCAGGGTATATGTAAAACTGTCAGGGAAATGTACAGGAAAACCACAGCTGACTTCTTGCTGAGAATTATAGCCTTGTGGTTAAAGAAAGTGCTGGCAAGGGGCCGCCCCTTATGGGGAGTGAAGAAAGAAGGGGAGTCAGACAGAGAGAAGAAAGGCTGCTGCCTCACACAGTAAATCTACTTAAGTCCTTATAACAGCCAGAATGGGGCGAGGACATCACAGTCATTTGCACAATGATATAAGTATCTGTTTTCATCTAGAATACTTCACCTTCTGATGGCTCGATGATTAGTCCAGTCGGGTGGATGGAATAGGGAAGGAGAGGAGAGGAGAGGAAAAGGAGAGGAGAGGAGTCTGCCAGTGAACAGCTGCCCCTGTAATTTATATTGATGAGGGGACTGGCATGGCAGGGAGCTTCCAGCAGTTTGATCACTCAGGCAGAGTGGGGAGTTAGTCAGAGACATGGCCCATCCCTGTGGTCTGGGTTAGACTAGGAAGACCTCCTAAAACACACACACACACACACATACTTGCACACACACATACAAGCAAGACTGCCAAGCTCACATTACGAGTGGCAGTGTGGACCGGCGTAGTGGGGAAGCCAATGTTTTCACTCCGAGAACAGAAATAGATCTACAGCCTGACTATAACCATGTAGGGCAGAGCGATCTCCCTCATTATTACTCCACCAGCCATATAATCACCAGGCTTCTCTGAGAAAGACCTTCCCTCCACATCCTCAATGACCATTAACTGGCCCTTGAACTTCTTCTTGTGCACACAGCTCTGACGAGGTACTACAGCCGCTTCCTGTCTGTGAGGCGCAGCAATCAACTACTTGTTAAGGGGCTTTACTTTGATTTCCTCACATGGACAAGATTTGAATATTTCTCACTGATATGAGACAGCGTAGTCCAGTCTCTGCCCAGGGCTTTGAACCCAAGACTCCTAAATCATGCTCTTTGATTTGAGCCCCCTTCCGGTGTAGAGGTGCTTAGCGCCGCACTAATTAAGATAGTGGGGCGGTGGATGGTGGGTCAAAGCGTTTCTGTTCTACCTTGAAGATATCCTGACACAAACACGAACATGCACACACACACATCAAAAAAGGAATTCCATAACCCCTCCAGACAAGCAAATAGCTTAACACACAATCGTGCTGCTGTTTTGACGGGGCTGTTTGAGTAAGGTGGAGCTGTCTTGCATAGAAGATCATATCCTTTGCCCTGCTGTCTGATGTAAGAAAGAGCCGGGGTGTTTTACAGGGCGAGATGCAGCCTCTCACAATCTGAAACACTCCGACCGCTCTTACAGAAAAGCCCTCTGGCCTTCCCTCTCCACAAGTTTCATCAGAGTGATCAGAGGGAAAGGATAGCCTTCAGGGCTAGTTTCTTCCGTTCACACAGTGGGGTATGAACACACACGCATAGATGTACACACATACACAGACACACTGCAGTACACTACACAAAAGCGATTTTACATGCCTTTTCGATTGCACTTCACACGTGTCAAAATACAGTACAAATCTCTTGGAAATCATTGATTTCTACAGGTTTGACTGTTCATCAATTCTTCATGAGCACACTGAAATTGAAAAGGCAGTGGTGGTTAGACACGGCAAAGCCCGTGTACTATCGTTGTAGTGAACAAAGAAGTCTGGCATCTCACATGTGAGACGTGTCACATACTGAGTCTGTATCTTTCAATTGTAGTGATATGATCTGTGCTTAAATACAAACTCTTGGTAGTTAATGCCGCCTCAAAGGTTACAAACCACCACACAACACCACATCCGCGTTGCTCAGCTGCAAGGCCTTGCAGAAAACAAAGAGGAGCTTTAGCAGACTGCCTGCTTCAACTGTGCATGATTATCAAACAGTCATAAGACTGCAAAGCATTTTAATTTCCTCTCTGGGGTTATCATCATATTCTCTCCAGGATGGAGAAATACGAAATGGTGAAAGTGGATGGCACGGATCTAATTGAAGGTATTGATTTATTATAATACAAGTCAGGCAACAATATGCATATAGGCACTGATGAAAGAAGAGTCAACAGAGATAGAAACAAGATGATCTTATCATCTCTACTGTATATGAGGCAGGGAGAATTTGTTTTTTTCCTCACATTAAGTCCGTGTAGAATTTGTCTTTGAATTAAATTACATTTTAACAGCCTTGAAATTGAAGTGCAACAGAAATAAAAAGTCATAAAAAAATCTTTGTACTCACAGGTATGCGTCTTCTTTGTTACTGAGATACCTGCAGAAAGACATAAAACAAACCATAAAAAAACATATTAAAACAACTGTAAAATACCAAGCACAAACCATATTTTACATAGAGCTCTGCTTATAGCTAAGTGATGGTGATGATGATGATGAAGAGGCAGACCCTGTGGTCCAACAGACTGTCACTGTCCAAGGTTACTGAGGTGGCAGGCCCAGGGCAATTATGTGTGTAGGCTGGTGTCTGACCTACGGCCATGCTACATCAACATCCACGACAAGGTGGTTGAAACTCTATCCTCTGCGGGCGATGAATGAAAAATTATACTAAAACAAACAACATTTGGAATGCTAATGTGTTGAGCAGCCACACTGATTGGGCCCAAGCACATGACTCAGCCTGTGGCCCAGAGCGGGATGGAGGCACTTTGACCTTAATGCTAGTTAGTGAATCCTTTATTTTGAACAGGTTGTCTCACTGAGATCAGGGCCTCTTTTCAGGAGGGTACAGAAAACATATATGGAATTATAAGACAAAAGTATATTAACGTACTTAACAGATTTTAAAGGTACGCCATGCTTCAAAACAATGTATTAACTCATTCAAAAGTAATCCCTCTAAATGATCACTTATGACCCACTATAAGTGTGTGGCTGTGTATTTATCTGCAGAGACTCTGCCCTTGCCTGTATTTTCCTTTTTTTTGCTGTGTTTGGTACGTTCTTAGGCAAAGCGCACAGCTGAGTCCAACAAAAAAGGCGATTCTCAGGTGGTATTTTGTTTTAATTTTATTTCAGTGTTCAGTTCTGGATGAAAGAAGAGCATGCAGGTCAGACAGCAGGTGCTGGATGATAAATATATTAAAATAAATGAGGATAATAGTTTAATGTTTAAATGTTTTAACCCTATGACTCTTGACTTTGGGTAATGAGCATCATTACTGATTGCCAGAGTGACTTGCTGAGCAAATTCAAATTGTGCTCTAGCAAGAACTCTGGATTTCCAGGGTGCTGATGATGGGGCTTTCTAAAAAGGTAGCAACAAGCTGCCAGATCGTAAGCATTCCAAAGGAAATTACAGAAATTGTGGACACGGTGCCAAAGAAGTGCAAGTATGGCAAGGTGAAACACTTCGGCAACAAAGCTTGTTCCGAAACAAGAGTGAACTTGGGTTGACTTTTACTTTCACTGGCAACACTGTTTACAAACGATAACAGCAACTCCTGCATAGTATATCTTAAATCCAGAATACCAAAAAAATAAAAAATAAAAACATGTAACATGCTGTTGGATACCAAATGAAGGTGAAATGCAAATCAATGACCTTGAAAATAGCCTACACTTTTTTGTTTCAATTATTATCAATTTAACAAACTAATGATTGATGAGAGAATAAAAGCATCAAATCAAATCTTAAGAATCCAAAGCGTAAAGTTGCAATTGTCAGATTAAGGCCATACCAAACGATACCATCTAACTTTACATTATAGTGTTGAGTGGCAGAGACTTTACGCCATTCTTGTATTGTGAGAATGAAAGAGGTCCCAGTGCGGACCCTTGTGGGACACCTTTACTAACTTTAAAAGCATTACATTTTTGTACCATTGCAACAGCTAAATTATTTCTGGAAACACTGAATTGAAAAATAATCTTAACCTTTAAAAGATGACTTTTTTAAGAAATGGCACTGTCCATAGTCTCAAATCTATGAAGTTGATAAAACGCACAACAAATTGAGGGTGGCTGTCCAGTGCACTGACAACAACATGAAGCTGTTATAGTGCTATTACATTGTTTAAATGCAGCCTGCTATGGCTGTAATATTACTAGTTTCCAGAAAGGCATGTGGTGAAGGAGTCCAATATTTTAGCCAAGCAGGTAGTTCTGAATTTGGATGGAAATTATTTTAAAAAGTAACAAACCTTCCATACATGTGGAAAAGTACTGGATATAAAAGTAAGCTCAAAATAGAGAATTAGCAAGTGGTTCTGCAATTAAATGAGCACTGAGGTGTAGAAGAGGAAAGACCTAAAATAGTCTCATCCTAACATTTCCTATAATCTAAACTGACTGGAATTTGTTAAACCCAGAAATGATTAGATAAACTACAGATAAGATATGAATAGTGTTGTGTGTAGTTGCATACTGCTTATCGAACAAGTGACCAGTCTGGCCAGTGTGAGTCAGACCTGGCTGTGGCTGAGGCTGGGGCGGAGCTGGGCTGCCGCTGTTCACGTTTCTGTTCCTTGCCCCTTTGGGTGTCAACTCATCGAGTGAGCCACTTCGGCTCTTGCTGTGGCTCTGGCTGTTTCTCCTGTCTGCAACATTGGTCTAATGCCCCAGGAGCCTGACGCGGACGAGCGCACAGCCAGCCGTGGTCCCCAGCGGCCCGCGGGATGCTCATGCTTTGCAGGGCGATAGCACACTAATAGATCCCACTTGTCATGCGGAAGCAATGGCTAATTTTTCTACGGCTTGCATTTGAAACTCGGGGGACGGCGAGCTGACATGATTCAATAACTCTTTGTGAAAAAGGCGTCTGGCCGGAGATAACAATGTTTCAGACACGTTTGAGGGGAAACGAGTCAAAGAGCAACGAGGGGGAAAACAAATAAGCCCTTCAGCCTCCTATAGACATACACACAGAAACACATAACTAATATCAACTCCACTGAGCAGAAAGAAGGAAACAGTCACCTAGGGGCCAGCAGTCTGTGATGGAGCTCTAGCATTGTTCCAGTGCTCAGGGCCAAGAGCTTCTGTTCTGTCCAACTGTGACATTACGCAAGGAGAAAATAAACAGTAATCCAGTCTTAATTCTACACTTCAATCAAATGACATTGAAGCCAGCAAGAGCTGATGGTCCATTAAGGAGCAGTGGTCTCAAGGTGCTGCAACACGAGGCAGCTGTAAAAGCCTATATTAAGCAGTTAACTGGCTCTTTGTTTTGATGGGTAAGACAACCTCTTAGACCATGTAAGGAACAGAGCTGGTGTGCTTAGTGGAAACTGTATTAGAAGGAAATAGCAAATAAGCAGCTTTTTCCTGGCTTTTCGTCAAACCTTACACTACAATTACAGACACATAAAGCAGACATTCACTGACTATTCGAGGGAAGTCTGGTGACAATTAGACAACCAGTATTACTTAATCTAAAGGTAATTTATTTCATATTAAATGTGCATGATGTACAGGAGACGCGAAAAGTGACAGACACTCAAAAAAAGCAGCCTGTCTGCCTGTGTTTCTCCTCAGACTGACCACAGATCTTTAAGTTATAAACAACCACTTGCTTTGCAAAATGTTTATGACAGAGGAAGTGAAAGAAACACGTGTGTGTGTACAGTATATGCGTGTGTTTTCGCCGAAGGTTAGCCACACAGACCACACTGATAATCTTCATGAGCAGTTTTGCTGTCGCTGGCTCCTTCGCTGACAAAGTCAAGAAAGATCAATACATCTGGCACCGGGAAGGCTCATGTTTCTCAACCTCAAATGTGCAACTCTATATTAAAGACGCAGTATTGAATCATCATTATTCCACACTGACTGACCAAAAATTTAAACGTATCGCTATGGCTCCTATTTTTTTTATGCACACAAAAGACTTTTTGCCATTATATTTTGGTCGCAGATTTGTTCAATTTTGTGTTAGTGAGCACCTCTCCTTTTTCAAGATAATCCATCCACCTGACAGGTGCAGTGTATTAAGATATGCCTCATTAAACAGCCTTACATTTATTGGGATTTTACAACTAGCGCAACAACATTTTTTGGTCACTGATATCTCAAAGAATCAGTCAGTATCGTCTTCACAGAGTCAATCAGGTTGTTGATTGTGGCCTGTAGAATGTGCCCCACTCCTCCTTAATGGTCGTGTAAAATTTGTCACCAACATTTGAGAGAAAGAAAAAACCCCATGAAAGATGGAATCAGAAACAAAAGTGTAATTCTGGTACTAAGTAAACTTTTACCAGCACATGCTAAATCTGAATGCTCCAGTCTATTTAAGGAAGGATATCTACTGTAAAGGTACCCTGGGGAATTTTCTGTGTAAACAAAAACAGTTTTGTTTACTGAACTTTGGACTTTTCTTACTACAATATATTGTGCCTTAGGGTTGAAAAAAATGCATGAAAATTAGCAAATTTGTTTTTAAATCTGCATTGTTTTAAATCACCCTGCTTCCTCTCTTTTTTTGTCCACTCTGCTACCTGTTGTGTTGTGTTACTGGCACCAGCGGTCGATATGCAATACTCTGCATTCAGCAGAAATGTGCACCACATCACCACCATGCTTGTGGTGTGCAAGTGTGTGTTCTCCTGTGCATGCTTCAAGAAAGAGATAAACAAATCAGTCCTCTACAGTGCCCCTGGTGGTCAAAAACTCCACACTGTACCTTTAGCAGATTTGTTATTGAGTCAATAAAACCAGATGCACAGATAGAAATATATATGTACATCACAAACTTTGGAAGAACACACAAAAGTATCCAACACAGCCAGAGCTATTAAGGAGCCTCACCAACTAGTGTACTACTTAAAATTATGAAAACTAATCTCTTCATTAATATTTTCTAAAGTACAGGGAGAAAAGCAATTCTATCTTTTTTACAGCAAAGGCTCGTGTGGCCTGTTGCTATGCAGGTTAGAGGAAGCAGGAGGGGCCGTCGGTGGGCCCACTTCCTCCTCTATGTGTCATTCAGAGCCCTGTGATCGGAGGTGGCAAGGAGAAGGGGCCACAAAGCCAATGAATGAGTCAGGCGGTGAGAAAGAAGGAGTTAGCTCTGGGCACTGACATTGGCAATGCCTGCCAGCTCATGTCTTCTCCACTGGATGGCAGGTTCAGAGGTCAGTGTGGAGGTGAAGCTCTCCTTGGCTGACAAACAGGCTGCCGTAAACACGCTTACAACTTCGAAGGATCGCCCTTCATAGACATCTATGTGCTTTAATATTTTGTAATGAAAGGCGAGTTTGTTTTCTATATGAGCAGCTGAAGTCTGATTTCAACATTACCATTCGTCACGAAGGAAGG